GGAATGTGGCCCCACCAGCCCCTTGACTTGAGCCCATACAGCTCATTTTGGACTTCAGATCTTCAAAACTGTAAGATAATAAATTTGTGTTGCTTTAAGCCACTGGGTTGGTGGTAACTTCTTACAATAGCAATAGAAAGTTGTGTACCTGGGTATGGAATTTTTATTCTTGGGGAAAGAGGCAGAAAAAGTGGGAAAGAAAGGAAAGTGTTCTCTCTCTCCGCTTGAGGGGTAAAGATATGGGATGAGAGGCTGGACAGAGTGCTAGGGTGAGACGGGTGCTGTGCGAGGCAGACCCATGTGGGACGGCTGCCACCTCACATGCGAGACCTCCCTGAGTGTGCTAGCACAAGAGGGTGGCTGGGGTTGGACCGCAGCATCAGGGGCCCATCAGGGGTGTGTGCCTCTCTCTCTGCCTTTCTCATTCACGGAATAAAAAAAATAACTTTTAAAAAACATATGATGAGGACTTTCCAGGAGTTCCGGTACGTGTTTTAACAGCTTCTTCTTAGTCCTAGAAAGGCTTTACTCAGGACTGGCAGCAAGTTTCAAAGTTATGGAGCTGAATTTGCTTTTTTGTTTGTTTGTTTCTTTTTACCTTTTTTTTTTTTAATTTAATTTTATTGCCAGAAGGCATGTGCACCTGAGAAAGAGAGAGAAATCTCTTGGGGGCATGGTCACTCTGAAAAGTTCTCCCATTTCTTCCTCCCACAAGGAGTTGGGCATGCACGTACATGAACCCAGAATGCTTTTGAAGCTGCTGTAGCAAAGATTACAACCATGGTCAGCCACGTGGGATCCCATTCCTAATACACAGCACTTAACTGCCGCACTATGGAAGTGGCTCCCAAATTTACTTTCCACTTGAATGTATTGTTATGCTGAGGTGGATCTTTGGGTGGGAGCAAGGAGGGGTACATTTATTTGAGTCGCATCAGCAAAGTAAATTTTTCTCTGCTAAGAAATATGAATCTACTTTTACTGCATCATGTTTTAACAGCTTTTCACTTTTTATAATATAATTTTTTTTTCTTTCTTTCTGTGGAAAAAACAATGACAATATGCACCCCCAAAAACCAACCACCACTG